TTTTTTTGTGTGTCACTTGACTGATTTTATGTGTAATTGATTTTACTACTTTTGTTAACTTCATACTTGCTTGGTAAGTAATTGGTCTACTACCTTTACTGTGTGTTTGTTTTCACTGGTGAAAAATATTTAGGCTTAAGGACATTTCCATCTACACAAGTTCCCTTTAACATATCCTGTAAGGCCAGTTCAGTGGTGGTAAATTCCTTCAGCTTTCATTTATCTGGGAAACTTTTATTAATCTCTCCTTCAATCTTGAATGATAACCTTCTTGGGCAGATGATTTTTGGTTGAAGGTCCTTTTGTTTCAATACACTAAATATTTCATGCCACTCCCTTCTGGTCTGTAAACTTTCTGCTGAGAAGTCTATTGATAGCCTAATGGAACTTCCCTTATAAGAATTTTTTTCCCTCTCTCTAGCTGCTTTCAATACCCTCTCTTTATCCTTAATCTTTGTCATTTTATTATGTCTTGGTGTTGTCTTCCTGGAGTTCCTTCTGTTAGAGGCCCTCTGTACTTCCAGGACCTAGTCCTGGTTCCTTTTTGTTCTAGAGTCCTCCCCTTAATTTCTTTCTCCCCTCTTGTATTTTGCTAAGCAGCAAAAAGCAAGCAGGCTTGGCTAAACATCCAGGTTCATTGGTTGTAAGTTCTGTTTTCCACGTAACTTCCAAGCACTATTCTGTTAAGCTGTCTCCCACCACATAACAGGGGTCTCCCTTCCTTCAGTTTCAATGTCACATTTCTCATTTCCTTCTGGGCCCTGGCAGTGTCTTAAATTCCAGATTTCTACTAATGGTCTGTTCATGGAGACTGAGGATTTCTCTAAGACAGCTTAGGATCTCTCCATACTTTTTCTTCATGTTCTTCCGACCAATAGCATTTTTAATGCTACAAAAGAAATGTACACATTTTCATAAAAGGTCTGTTCAACGCAATGTAGGCCTTTTCTATCATGCTCTTCAAAATTCTTCCAGCCTCCACTCACTGCCCAATTCCTACATTTTTAGGTATTTGTCATGATGCCCAGCTTCCAGGTACCCACATCAGTTTGTTTTCTATTGCTGCATAATAAATATTACAAATGTAGTGGCTTTAAACTGCACAGGGTCCTCTGACCTTTACACTTCCCTCCGGTTGGGGATTAAACCCCTGCAACCATTATCTTTTCCTAATGCATCAAATAATGGTGTCCATCAACAGCTGTCAGAGTCCCCTGTCTTTAGGAATAGTTCCTCCCCCAACCTCTCAAACACCTGTGATGTTGCACACCCCGGCCCCAGTGCATTCCCCTCTACAGGTTCACTACTAGTGAAAGATTGGGACAGTGTCCCACTTCAGCATGAGAGGGGTGTCAGTTCTACCTACCGCTAGTGATGGGGTGTTCATCACCAGCTGTCCAACTAGAACCCAAAATCCCACTTTAGACTCTACTTCTCTGAACCAGCCTGGCACCCACTGTGTTAGAGCAGGTTCACTGGAAACTAACTCAAGTATTGAGAACCAAAACCTGGAGAGTCTTCAAGGGTGTAGGATTGGGCAAAGGTCAAGGTAGGCAGAGCTCAACTGTGGAGATTCTCAGCAAAGCCTCAGCTGATCTCACAGGGAACTGAGGAGAGGGTGGCTCTTCAAAACTGTCTCAAGGCAATAGGTCCAGGTCTACACCTCTGCACCAACCAGTCACTGGATGTGGGCTGCCCCTGGGAGGGAGGTGTGACTTCAGTGAGGTGATGGCTCTCTTCAGCCAAAGCAATTCCTGGAGAGGGATTCAGCTGAGAGTTGTTGGCACAAACAATCTGGGACCTTAACCCTGAAGAGGGGGAGCGTCTGGGTGGCACAACACAGAACCCACAACAATTATTGTTTTCTGTATCTCTAATAGGTGATATTTGTTCTTTGTATTGTCTATTGCTGTGTAGTAAATTACCCCATAATTTGGTAATTTAAACTGGCAAACACTTATTATCCTGTACTTCCTGTTGGTCATGAATCTGAGCTTGGCTTAGATGGGTGTCTCTGGCTTAGAGTCTTTCATGAGGTTATCAAGCTACCAGCTTGGGCTATAGCTCCCTGAAGACTCTGCTGTGGCGGGCGAGCCCACTCACGTGACTGCTGGCAGGCCTCAGAGGATCCACTTCCAAATTCCAAGGCTTCCGTTCCTGATCATGTCCTCCACAGGCTGCCTAAGTGTTTTGTGACATGGCAGCTGATTGGAGAGCGAGAGACCATGCCCAAGAGTCTTTTTAAAACTGATCTTGGAACTGACATTGCATCACTTGTCATCATCTATTCCTTAGCCAAACTAAAGGGGACAGGACAGCACAAGGGAGTGACTACCAGGAGGTAGAGGTCGCTGGGGGTGTCTTAGAGCCGCCTGTCAGAAACACTACCTGCCGAACACTGAGCTGAGCCTTTCACCTGCATCACTTTATTTAATCCTCACAATGACTTTAAGGGAGTTGCTTTTAACATCCTCTTCTGTAGGATGTGGAAACAGGCTCAGAGTGATAAGTATCTTGCTGATAGCCATACAAATTACTATAGAAGGGAAAAGATTTAAGCCCAGCTTTGTGTGTGAAAAGCCTGTTTCCAGTTCTCACTCTACTGTCTCCCTCAACAGTGGTTTGCAAAGGACCTAAGCTGTTGGAGAATATTGAAGCTGAATAGGGACCTGTGATCCTTCTGGTGCAGGGACTGAGAGTGAGATGCAGCAGAGGGTTCTGGAGACAGGTATTTCCCAACTCAGGAATTTCAGGAATAAGGCCAGGAACACAGAAGGGCAGGCCAGAAGATTGGGCGGAGGGGAATTCTGAAGTGATTGTGTTGGTGAAATCAGCTGTGCCCTGAGGAAACCCTCCTTCCTTTCCAGTCCAGAGACTGGAAACAGAGGTAGCAGGGACCTAGAAATAAATGAGCTAAAACTTGTAACTCAGTTCTGGACAAAAATATTAAGCTTCTTGCAATAATGGACTGCGAAACAAAGTTCCAAGTTCTTAGTAACTGGTGGACCTCACTCTGAGGGCTGTTCCAAGTGATCTACCACTGTGTAACAAACTATCCCGAACCTGAGTGGCGTATAACAATAGTGTTTCTTTGGGCTGGTTGGGGAGTTTTTCTGCTGGTCTCTCCTGGGCTCTTAAACATGCACTTAGTTGGAGGGCCAGCTGAGCTGAAGGGTCTGAGATGTCCTCACCCACCTGTCTGGAGCCTTAGCAGGGACAGCTGGGACCTCTTGCTCCATGTAGTCTCTCGTTATTCAATGGTCTGCCTGAGCTTCTTCACTTGGCAGTCATGTTCCAGGAGAATAAAAGCAGAAGCTGCAAGATATCTTGAGGCACAGGCTCCAGGACTTGCACATCATTTCTGTTGCATTCTATTGGTCAAAGAAGCCATAGGACCAGTCCAGATTGATGGGAGCTGAGAATGGCCACACCTCTTACTGGGAGCTTATGGGAAGAAAGGTAAGCATGCACTACAAAACGGTGTGGACACAAGGAGGTGTGACTCATCGGGGATCGTTCACCATGGAGACCTTGGAAAGGGAGTTTATGTTTAAATTGCAGTGAAGTCGTTTCTAGTTAGCTTGGTACAGGCCATGGGCTGTAGGCCCCATGAGAAAGGACTGCAGTGTGCCTGAGATTTGAGCTGTCTCTCCTACAGGGCACTGGGATGAGCAGTGGTTCATCTGTGCAGGAGATTCAGAGTTTGGACCCAGTCAGAAATAGAAACATGGAAGACGTAAGATGTTGGGATTAAAACAACCTATATGAAATGGAATTCAGCCTGCGGTTGGTATAAAATAATATATTTAGAACAGGGTTATTCAAAATGCAGGTAGAACTTATTAGTGGGTCTTAAAATCAGTTTAGTAGTTCATGATCAGCATTTTAAAGAACAGGTTAGAAAATTTCAAAGTACAGCACATCCAAAGATATTTTGCTGACATTTTTACTTCATTTGGATAAATAAGCTCATAGACAAGTATATCGGATGGCCAAGTAATGGGAACATACATTTCTTACTATGGGTCACTGTCAAAGTTTGAAAGCCACTGATTGGGGTGGGGGAGTAGCTTTTTGTATACATGAAAAAGTGTGTTAGCATCAATATCTAGTTAGAGTTACAAAATGACAGAAAATAAGCATGGTAATTCTATGATTTGAGCAGTTCCATTTTAAGAGGTTTTAAACAAAGGGAACCTTGACCAGTACGATTGCCTTTCTATATGCTTAACTCCCTCGTCGGAATCCTTGTAGAACAAATCAGAGGCCCCTGAGCTAAAAACGCTGTGACAGAGAACGCTCACCTTCCAGTTGGCTACAGCAGCAGCTCTGAAGGCAAGCCTCACAAGGGATCTCAGCACCTGACATTACATTAATTAATTACTTGGTTATTGTTTAGTTTCCTCCACTGGAACACATGGTCCATGAGAGCAAGAACTGTCTTGTTCACTGATGCATCGCCAGTGCTAGACCCGTGCCCAGCACATATTAGGCACTCAATAAACACCTGTGGCATAAACAGTGACTGAACTGGGTTGGGGGGGGCTCAACCCAGGGGCCCTGTATTATGATCGCCACTTTTCACTGAATGTGCTTTGTAAGCTGGTTCCATCTGTGTTTATTCTTCAGGCTGGTTCAGAAGCCAATCATGCTCCTTTTTTTCAAATACTGTTTTTTAGGGTATGTTCAGATTATTGCTCAGCAGGACAGAGTAGTGTCACGGAAACTAATCAGGACCGAGCCAGGCAGCACGGATGAGAGAGAACTAATCACTCTAACTTTGGCCAGCAGCCTTGAAAACATGTTATCCTTCATAGAGTGGGCAGGGTTTGTGGGCTGGGCAACCTGGTACCAGGACCGGGGACAACAGATAACAAGCAGCATATTGGGGTTGCTCATTTTACAGAAAAAAGACAATTCATTGAGCAAGGAGCCCCCGAAATGTTGTCAACTGAGCGTAAGGAGGAAATGAAGTGAAGAAAGACACACACAGATATGGCTACTTTTGCTGTTTTACTTTGAACATTAGCATTCAGTGGGTTACCGTACACATCCAAAGGCCCAGCGTCTTGGAAATATCATGAAGTGGCACACCTTGTACCAGAGTCTCAAGAATAAAACAGATGATGCTACATCAAGTGGTTAAAAATACACAAACGAGTAGTTTTAACAGTCTATAAATTTTTTATACTTAAAATCATGATTGAGTTGAAATAAAAAGTGCATTTCAATTGCTAAAAAAATAATATTGGTATAGTTCACACAAGGGGAAATCAGTACATGGAGGGATCTGACCGGCGCTGGGAAAAGATGACCCAGGGAAGTGAGGCCAGTCTGGAGACTCAGGAGGGAGTTTGGCGCGACCTCATGTAGTCCTGGGGTCCAGGCAGCTCTCCTCTCCCCAGTGCCTTTCCCATCATAAAAGATCCTGTCCCACCTGTGTCACCTCCCCAACTGAAAGACTCTTCTCTCAACTTCTTTGCAGCATGAGAGGCACCTGCCCTACGCGAGTTCAACTTGACCTTCAATTGCGTCTTTGCAGAGGTAGGAGAGGGATGGCGCCCCCTTCTGGACTGGACACAAGTACCCCAGCCACATGGCCTTAATTGTTATGGCCTAGCAGGCAGAGCAGGGACCAAGCAGCTTCTGTTTTGTCAAACTCCTTTGGACAAATATTCAACATTCAACAACAAGCTTTGTAAACCTAACGCTAAACAATTCCTGGCAAGCAAACTGGATTTTCCTTTCTTTAAGAAATGAGGAAAAGTGCAAGTGATTTCAGTACTGTTGGGGAAAACAAAAATAAAAATAAACAAGTTACACCAGGCCACCTGTTACCTAAACCAATCACAGCTTCAGTTTCGTTTTTGGTCAAGTGTTGGAGTTACAAGTGGACACGTCTATCTAGCTGTGTTGCTTAGGGTCAGACTTGGCTGGGGAAAAGGATCCAGGCACACAGCTGTTAAGAAGGCCATTCCAGGTGCAAATGCCTCCTGGCTCTCCGGGGTAAATGGTTATGGTCTGGCGTTTCCTCTTAGCTGATTACTGACCTGCTTATTGTGCAGAAGATACTGTGATGAGCACAAAAACTCGTGGCCAGAGAGCTGATGAGGATTAGGAGCCCTAAGAGAAACTGACAGAGGGAACACAGACTGAATTCTGACCTGGAGGAGTGGCTGCTGCAGGGCACCTCCCATGGGTCAGCCTGCAGAGTCTGGGCCTGAGGACTTGCTCTCTGGTGTAACTGACATCTGAAACAGAGCAGGGGAGAAGCACTTCCTCATTCAAGCTCAAGTTACCCCTGCTGCCTGTCTTTCTCAGAGATGCGAAGGTATTGCGCTGGTGGTGGGTACCAGAAGTAAGGAGGGTCGCCTTCCTGCTCTGCATTTAGCACACAATGGGTCCCCCGTGGGAAGGTCCTAGCTTTCAATCCCAGGGCACTATTATTTAAAAAGGCTAATTAAGATGCGTGACCCACAAGGGCCTCTGACCCACACATTAATCTTTCTTTGCATCATGAAGGCTAGACAACTACTGGACTTGGTAATGAAGGAAAACGTCTTAAAAACTAAGATCTACTATAAATAAGCATTGACCCAAGAGAGGATATTCTGTAAGAGACTTAAAAGCCAGGATCCTTCATTAGAAGGTTGAGAATAAAGACGCTGCTTTGTTGCCCCCTTGTGGACAAAGCCAGTACTGCTGACGGAATAGAATCATACAGCCCATGCCAAGAAATGAACAAAATGCATACTCAGACTTAGGGAAGACTGAGAATTCATCCGATTTTCAGAGGTTGCATAAATATCCTTCAGGATACTTTAGAAGTAACACAAAAACTATGCCACACAATTTCTTTTTTACTTTTGAAAAAACCTAATGAGTTGAATAATCAAGCATGGAAAAGATATTTCTAGGAGAGTTGGACATTCTAAGAGAATAAATATCTCCCACCAACTTTTCAAATGTGATTAAACAGAGCCTCAAGACCTTTACAGAATGTGAGGTGGCATCTCTGTCCTGATTAAAGGAACCGTTTTCATCTGTAAAAGGCAGGGGTGGCAGGAAGCTGTATTCATTCAGAGGAGCCGGATGTTCAGAAGCAACCTGGTTCTTTGGCACATAGACAGGCTCTTTGCTTGACCAAAAGCAACAATGCAAGTATCAGGTTTCCTTATGAAGTTAAGCAAAATTCAGTTTGTACCCCTTCTTGCCTCATCCCCATACACATGGCCCCCAGATCGTTTTCAAGTAATCTATAACATCCCTGGTCTCACCAGAGAAGCTCAACAGAGTGAGAAAGGAACCTGGAACTAGAAAGTGGAGGGGACACTTCCCAGAGGAAAGGGTCCTTCGATACTTGCACCAAACATTTCCTATCAAAGAAGACACAAAACAAGCCATTAATAGCCTGCGTCAGGGATGTGGCTCCTCTGAGTGCGAACACCACTGTACTGCCTGTGAGTCCAAAGAGAAAAGCCACAGACTTCAAAGTGGTTACCCTAGACGGCCAGATACTACCTAAAAGAAGCAAACTTATAGGTCAGTAATGGGGACTATCAAGGCAAATTGAAGTCAAAACTATTTAAAACAACAAGAAAATCATGTTACTTATTTCTGGAGAAATCTACCTTTTACATTTTGTCAACTAGTCTTCCAATTCCCAATAGCCAATGAAGCTTTCAAAGATCATGACTTTATTCATTATCAAACATAACCAATTCTCACAATTTCACAGTCCCATCAGAACATACTGTTGCCAGACAAAAAGGGCTAAGAATTTACTAACAGCTGCCTTCTTAGACTTCCACTTCATGTTAGTCTTGAAAACCTGAGTATTAGTATTATTAACTTTAAGGAAAGAGGCGTGACATTTTAACTCAGAAGGGAAAGATTTTCACTAAGGCCAAAATACTCAATAGCTTCCATTCACTTTTAAGACAAAACACAATCCAATTTCCTCATTTTAAAGAGTTCCATGTGTTTTCAGTTTTGGAGAACGGAAAGGGAGCAAGAGACCTGTACGCAGCACACACTTCGGTTCTCACCATGAAAGATAAGCCAATTGCAAACATGATTTTTCCATAAGGTGCTCATATCACATGGAGAACACACTGCAACCCTTTGTTTTTACATCCTTCATATATTACATATCAATCATATTAAAAAAATAATTAGATGTGAGCAAGTAGAAAAGAAAGTACCTGGAAGTTTTTGAGGGATGGACAGGAGGATGATAGATGCAGACTGAAACTCAATAAAGGACTTTTGATAACCAGATAGCGATTTTAAATTCATCTGAATAAAATAAAATTATGCCTTCAACCTAGCAAAATGTTCTGGAAGAGACAGGGCTTATAGGAATAGGGCATAGCAACATTCCATAGGGCAGCATTCAGGATCCCTTAATCAGAAAGGACAGGTATTCAGGAATACTGATATGACAAAAAGATGTTCAAAAGAGAGATACAATGACCTTTAACTTTAAAGGAACATCTAGTTTCTGGTGAAAGAAAACAAAATGAAGAGTAAGATAAGGATAACATCTTTCACCATTAGAAATGTCATATGTAAAGAAATAAGACGATAAATAAGTTTTAAATGTAATCTAAAAATGACACAGGGGAACAAATCTGTTCAAAATTCTTGTCCAAGGTTTACTAGTTTGTAGAGCCAAAGCAATTGGACTGAGGGTGTATCCCAATACTCATGGAAAATGAAATAATCAGAGGTAGGATTTAGAGACTAGGAAAAGAATGTTCCAGGATGCTGGTTTTTGAAGGCACTCAAGAACAGAGTGGGAGAGACGGAAGCTACAGAGAGATAACAAAGGATGAGAGGTGCATACTCACTTATATGTCATTAAGAAAATAAAAACTTCAGGAATATTGTGACAATACAAGTATTATGGAGTAATACACAGAGTAACAAGGTAGAAATCCACTTAAGTAGTTTCTTACAATATAGCTTCTACTTATGGAATAAGAAAAGAGTTTGTTCTCTCGATATGCAACTTTGCAAAATAGTTTTGACTTAAATGAGGAACTTGGTAAATGGTATATTATCTGGTTCTTCAGACAAATTTACTGAAGCTAAAGCTCCAAAAAGTGGGGACAATCAAAGTGTTTGATTTTCCTTTGAATCTTGCAAAACCTATCCTCTAAGACAAAAAGATCTGATCATAAAGTCTATAAAAAGTCTATAGAGTATAAAAGTATAGAACTATGAAAGTGGATACATTGATGGCAACTTTTATGGCTTCCATAGAAAGTGTACAGAGGATCTCTGGTTTGCTTTATCGAGGTAGTGTCCAGGGTTGGAAGGTCATCGTTGCTTATTCTCTAACTGCTACAGATGACAGAAGCAGGTTAGATAGGATGTTGTTATTGCATAATAATGCCACTATCTCTAGTGACTAATGACCTTTCATTCCTGAAAATATGATCTTTTGGGAAATTTCCTATTTTGTTTTAGCTAGATAAAGGAAAACGAAAACCCAATCTTTACTTGCTCAATTTTATAGTCTTAAGAATTCCAAGTGAGCTAATTTTTGTCATGGTACATAGTTGATAAAATTCTTAAATGTAACTTAACCCCCGTTTTTATTAAATACTTCCTATACAGTCTTGAACAGCACCAAAATGTTAATCATGTGGATCAGCAATGTAATAAAAGTTGTCTCTTGTTTCTATACAGTAGCTCAAACAGAAGGATTCCTTTAACTGTAGTTTTCTTTTTTTGTTTTTTTTACAATAAAACCCCACCTACCATTCCATGTTGCACTAACCAAAATCTGCAAGATGGGGGTAAATATATATACATATGCAATGGATTTCTATTTCTGCTTGATCTTCTCAAAATTTAAAACTTCCAGTGAAATCAAAATTAAGCTAAACATACATATCCATTCAACAAACATAAAAACTGAAAACAATTTTGAGAAGTAGAAAATTCAAAGTTGACAAGCGTCTCTTCAGGGTATTTTGCCTTCAGTTAATACAATAGGGAAAATTGAATGATAGGGAGCATTCTAACCACTGTGAAAAGGTATTTCAACAAATGTGTTTTTTAAAAAGATAGTACAACTACTGTAGTGTCCATGCTGTCATTAATTTAGAACAGCTCACGCAAACGGTAGATGGTAAAACTATACGTGATTTGCAAGTTTCTTTGAATGATGGTAAAGTTTCATGTGGAGGTCTCCCTGCTCGCTATGAGTAAGAATCAAATCACCAGTATAGATGCGGAAATGAAGCCTGTGCCTTTAAACCGGTCATCTTGTTTTCTTCATTCAAATTTAAAAATATCTAACTCAGTATGAGCCTACCTGACTCAATCTGAAAAAGCAGCAAGCAGCCTTCCAAGGCTAAGGAAGGGTTTACATTTGAATGATAAATCTGTGAGAAAGAATAGAAAACTGCAAAACGGGGGTGGGGTGGGGGAAGCAAAGCAATGTTAACTCAACAAAGTCCTTAGGAATTTCCTCAAGGAAGTCTCAACTTGAGCAATGGTACAAGCCATCAAAGACAGTAAAATTAATGAGAAACAGCCTAGACTTGATATCAACATAATGCTGAAATGTGGCCTTTGTTGCCTTTAAAAGACTTATTTAAGTACAGATCAACCTGGGCTGAGAACTCAAACTCCTCCATAGTTCTTTCTCTCATGAACAGATAACAAGTAAGTAATACGTTTTAAAAAAGTCACAGGGCGCTATACTGTATGTGGGGAAACATACCACATAGAGCAACATTTATCTTAGTAAAGGACTCCAGTCAAATTTTCAACCCTGAGTTTGAGTCTTAAGCATGTTAAACCTGATTCAAATGTATGTTTAAGGCTTAATCCTGCAGTTCTTATATTCAGAAGCATTCATGTTGAGTATTCTTAATGTATTTCATTATTAATAGGTAATATGATACTGATGAGGAGTCACTGTGTTTCTGAGCATTTCTCCTGAAGACCACAAGTCCCAAATCAGGAAAGGTATACTTAACTAGGAAGAAAAAATGGGAAGTTTCCAGATTGTTTCATAATACATTTCACTAAGAACTGTACAGTGTGACGATGCCAAGATTAAAAAAAAAATTTTTTTTTTGCTTCTGTTAAGGGTGGTGGTGATTATTTGCTTAATACTGGTTTTTCTATGTAGCAGATATTTTCTTATGGCTATATTCACTTGAATGAAACAAATAAAAGATGACTACCTGAAGTTTCCAGTGTATAATTATAGTACACCTCACAAAGTGGTTGATTCAATGGTCTCAGGTCTAGAATTCTGTACATCTAGAATTGCTGCCCAATACTGTACATTTATTTAGAACAAAATATGGTACTTAATTAACTAAGCTGCAGTTTACATCTCTTAAGAAAGCCATTCTAATATTACAGGCTTGGCGATGAAATAATGACATGTCTACATAAAGATGGAGACCCACAAACTTGTCATGGGACACAAAGGAGACTAGGAATAAGGGGAGCCAGCCACTGAAGACATCATAAACAAGGAATGAACTTTCCTGATTACTTCGGGTACCTGGGTGTTGAAAGAATGTATACAAATATTTAAAATAATATTCTTTAAGAAATTACATCCAAAAACAGGAAGAAAAGTATGTTTTGAGATACTTTTCTGCCTCATTACAAAATTTTCCTATGTTCATTACAGAAGACAAAAGGTAATAATCAGAAAGACAAACACTGGAAATATTAAACCAAAAATCTAATAGAGAATGCAGTATTTTAAAAATAGGGATTTAACCTCAATTGAAAGAGTTCATTTTTTTCCTATCACAGAACTTATCAGCCAGAAAAGTGCTTGAAGTATATCTGCACATTTAATATTAAAAATAAAAAATAAATAAAAGCCAGGTTTTGATTCAGGCAATGATTTACAAGCCCGAAAAAAGAAAAATGAAGAAATTTCAAGATTAAAAAAATAGAGGGAGAGAGAAAGAAAGGAGACCTAGCTTTGGAACTCAGTTCTCTACAACGAAAAAATACAAAAGTTTTCGCATATTGAGTCTGGATAAATTTGAGCAGTTAAATATAACCAGTATGTAAGCCCTTCTGTTCAGTCTTTCCCATAATAAGCTCCCGATTGATGGTGTTCTTTTAAAGTTCCCCAAACTTGAAAAAGTAACCTGCCTCAGGTATTAAAGATGCTGCTCTCCTCATCATCTAGGAATGCTGCTATCACATGATTATTTGCAGAGGAGAGGGCAGGAAACACAGGTGTTTTCTTGCCCTCACTACAATTGAAACTGTGTTAGAATAGCTCAAAGTTGTGGATATAATCCATTGCTATAACAGACATTTTATAAAACTCATGATCAATTTGTGTTCTCATCAAAACCTCTCAGCCGCTGTCAGATCAGCAACATCATGTTTGTGATTTTAGTGTACTATTTTATATTTTCATAACCATTCTAGAAAAATAAAGCAACCTCAAAACTAGCAGTGTATTATTATGAGACTTCAATTTGTCAGAGCATAAAGGTGGAACACGGACGCGGTTCTGAAGAGGTGAAAACCAGACGTGGCTGAGATGAAACGATCTCTACTACTTCTCTTCTTGAGGGTCAAGAGCTTCACTCCGATTCCCGAATAGGAAAGTTTTAGGTGACTGCCCTGGAAAAGGCCGTCCCTCTGCAAACCATCCACTTAATGCATCATCCGAACCACATGGAACAGGGAGGACAGGCGCGCGTCTGGAGCCTGACAGACACTCATGTGTTCAGCAGAGATTAAAAAACCACCAAGGACTTAGACCAGGTTCTGAAAGTAAAACCTCATTTTTTTGCAGTAACCTGGTTTAGAGACCCTCTCAGATACATCTAGTCTCTGAAGCACCTTTGAGTTGTACGGATGTATGAGTAACTTTGAATTATAGAAGTTATATGCATCTTTAAGAATCACATTTTGATGATTATAAAATTTTTTTCTATTTTACAACATAGGCCCAGCTACACTGAAAAAATTACACCGCTTATTGAAATACATTTCATTTTAGAAACAGACTACTAAAGAAGTCTATACAAAAACTCTAAAATAATTTCTGTAGTAAAATAAAGAGTGCGTTAGGAGAGCTACACAAAGAAGAAAATTTCTGTCTTTATAATGCTTGATAAACTGTGAAACGTGGCTGGCCCAACTCTGGAGCCAGCACCAAAAGCTGAAAAGAATTCATTACGATACACAGTGATACAATTAATGCTCTGGATTAATCTCACAGCCTTCCGATTAGTACAAAGGAAACCAGGCCTGTCCCCTCTTTGAGGAGAAGTCCAGGGTATAAAAGCAAGCATACCTCATCAGCTGATATGAAATTATAAAATTCCACGAGTCTGAATATTTGAAATTTATAAAAGTCACCAGAAAATGCAAGCAAAGTGGGCTTTAGTTGGGTGGTTCCCCTGGTTTAGGTGACAGTTTCCTCCGTGAGCTCAAGGTGGTCATCTTCTCCACCCCCTTGGGTGTGCTGATTCGCCAGGAGGAGGACAAAGCTCTTGGTGGATGCCGAGGAGAGTCTGGCAGCTACAGAAATGCTCCCAGCTCCCTCTCTGCAAACTCACATGGGCCGCAGAGGGCGGAGAACACTCTGAAGGGGATGGATGTTAATGGTGCTGTGCTGAACTATTCTTCTCTGCCAGGTGCCGCAGGAAGTTGTCCTCTCCCTGGCCTCTGTGATTTAAAGGCTCGCTCTTAAAGAGAGCTGGAGGCGGGGGGAGGTGTGGGACTGGGGGGATAGGGAGGTGGTGCGGGTGGTGAGGGTGCGGGTGGAGGTGCAGGTGCGAGAAGGGGTGGGGGATGGGCCGCGGAGGAAGGGCACTCACAGGATTCATACTGATGGGCGGGGTTGGGGTTGTGGGTGTGTTCACCACGGAAGGGACTGGGGTGGCAGGGGCAGTTGTAAGTGGGATCTGGACAGCAGGCGGCACATTCACGGGGCTGGTCACCCGAAAGCACTTCTCCTTGTGGGCCTTCAGCATGTTGGAGAAGCGGAACCGCTGGCCACACACATCACATGGATAGGGCTTCTCGCCTGTGTGAGTTCTGCGGTGCCTCTTCATGTTGGGGCGGCTGGTGAAGCTTTTGCCACAGATTTCACAGATAAAGGGTTTCTCTCCTGAGATGAACACAGACACAAAAAAATGATTAACATCCTAGGCAGCAATTAGGTGCTCATGCTAGTATTCATACTAAAAAAGTAGATCACCACTCCTCTCTAGTACGGCATGCCATATTCTAAGGGTCACAGAAGTGTCCCCAAGTTGTGACCTAACAAACGAACAGCTACAAGCAAAGCTGACACACAACCTACGGCATCCACGGCAGTCGTCCTTCACATCCGACATACAGAACTGTTCAAACGGCTTTCCTAGGCTCCAGGGAACTAAGACCACAGATGAATCTCTGCCTCTCAATTAAGGCAAGTTAATCTGTAAGTGATTTCTGACGTTCCAAAAACAAGTATGACTGAGCAAATGTCCTGTGGAGCAAATAAGTCTGTTCATGCCTACTTGTACATAATCCTTAGCACGTGGCTTACTTTTTGGTAGGGGACTTGGAAAGCACTGGGCTGATCCAGCCTGCAGCACCAACTTCACACTGCAGTGTCTCAACGGGGGTGCTACTGGCATTTCCACAGGCTATTCTTCATTATGTAGGACTACATGGCACGAGTGAAGAACACTCCGCATTCAGGTGCCAGCATACTAAATGCCCCCAAGACATTTTGACAATCAAAAACATCCCCACACAATTTCCATATGTCTATAGGTGTGGGAAGGATTGAAAGGGGGCTGCTGTTCCAGATGGAGAACTACGAGGCCAGTGAGTCAAAAAGGAAACAATTCCACAGTACTATGGGCACGTAGGAGGAAATTAGGTTTGGTTTCAGGGGCTTAATTTTTAAGCTTCCTAACTTTCCTTTACACTATTGTTTAGTTCCATCTGTGCCCCTGCCTGCATCTCTGCCCAGTTTCCCAGGCTGCAGGGGGAAAACAAGATGATTCCTGTACATTTGTATGTCCATTAATCACTTCATACGGAAGGCGGTGATGCGGTCCGGAATACCAGTGTACACGCATTTCAGGGACCTTATGCCCGCATTTACCAATTCCTTCAGTGAGCGCAGCTTGTGTTTTTAACTCTTGCTGTGACAGTTTGCTCTCGCTCAGTTACTGCCCCCTCAGTCTCTGCTAGGTGTCCTTGTTCTGCTCTGTATCAGTAACAGCTCTGATCTGTTGAGTCTTACTGTGTGCCTGGCACCGCTCCAGTCACTTTATATCTATGAACCTTCGGTGAGCCTCAGCAACAGACTGTATGAGGCAGGTATGGAATTATCCCTTTTTTACTAATATATAAATTAAGAAAGTTGCCCAAGTTTCTGAGCTAGGATTTAGAACTGCAGCTGGGTTCAGGAGTTTATGTGCTTTGACAAATGACCTACAGCACTTTAACACCTCAGTGCTTTGAGCATTTCTGCGTATTGAATGAAGGTAATTTTCTTACTGCTTTCCTTCACTCTGGGACCCCTTCTTAAACTAGGAGCAAACACCTCTTTACCTATAATGTAGTCTTTATTTCCTCTCTCTGCCTTTGAAAACTGACATCTCCTGTTGTGTCTTTCCATGGAAGCCAGAATTTTAACAGTCAGGAGGGATCAGTTTTCTCAAAAATTCCCAGTACCCTTTTCTGACATTCATATTTCTCACATCTTTCAGCTTTTCATTATTCAGTCACTGCCGCCTCCAGGCTCTTCACGGTAATTCATATCTACCTTTTTAGGTAAGTTCTGAGCCTAGCTTGCTTTCCTTCTTTTTAATCCATTTCCTCCCAATTATCTTAAAAGCTTCAAATTCTATGTTAAATGGAGTTGATTAAGTCAATTATGGCATACCCATCTGACGGAAAGTGCCATTAAAAACAATATTATAAAAGTATAGAAATGTAATTATTAACATATGAAAGTCTACTCTCTATTGTCTATAGAGTATCAAGTTATGAAAATGTACTCATGGTATTATCCACTTTTGATGAAAAAATATATATAGAAAAAATATGGAAAGAAATACAAATGTTACTAGTGACTATTCTATGTAATGGAACTGTGAATGATGCTTTATTTTTTATGCTTTTATGTACTTCGCTTTTCTAAAATAAGCATGATATACTTGTACAATAAAGTGTTTTAAAAGCACACCTGTTTGATAAACTATCAAACCCCTAGACGCTTCCTCCTTCACTCTCCAGAATTAGTACCTCCTCACTCTCAACAGCTACTGGGAGGCAGAGCCAAAGGACTTTGTCTTTGAATTATTAGTCTAATATGAGCAAACACCCTCCCCTTGACTCAGTAATCACTCCTTAGGTCATTAGACACTGTCTTTGCAAACAGCATGTATGCACTGAAAGCTTCTTCAGTGTATGGACACAACTTTCTGTTGTATGTTCAACCTTGGATCTAATCCTGGATCTCTCTAATCATCTCTCATTTGCAGTCTTCTAGGCTATAAAGATTTGCCATACAAAGACCCACAACTATTAGAACTGGCCTATGACAAACCCATGGATTTGAAATAAAAATTTTTATTGCTTAATAACCTTTTATTCATTTCTTGATGTCTTACCAAATTTTCCACATGTGCAGTTCCAGACTTAAACCCACAATCCGACCTCTCTCTAACTCTCATTACTCATCAGGTTCTATCTCCTAATTGTGCTAATGACTGATATTAAGATTTCTTTGAAAACTCAAGGTAAGATTATGATGAGGCTGAAACAGGGGAAAATCAAAATGTAACATTTGAAACCAACCACCTATACCACGTAGTGCCTTAAGAAAGAGCTGCTTAAAGGGATGACTGGAAGATACACTAACAACTAAGTCCATCAAGGTAACTAGAAAAGGCTGTACCTCAATACATCTAAAGATGACCTGTTACATATAGATAAAGCTAACTTGAGTGTAAGGAACAGTATTGTAATGAGTCTGAAGAAAGAACATTATAAATGATGACAAATAATCTTCATGAAAGATAGAAAAGAGTAAGAATTTGGCTAGTTAGTTGTCTTCTGCACTGTTCAAAGGAAAAAGTGATCTAGCCAATAAATACAAGCATTGCAGTCTGCTTAATATGAATATCCTTGAGCAGCATCAGTAATCCATGTTATCTATGTATCTAGCTTAAATCTCTCTCTTGAGCTTTAAATATATTTTGCAAACTGCCTACTGGATATTTCTGTTGAATGTCCCATAAATATCTCAAAATTAACAAGTACAAAATTAAATTCATTATCCTACCTAGCAAATCTGCTCCTCCCTCTGCTCTCCTCTCTCTTGACAAATTGCGTACAAGCCCCAAATCTGGGACTAACCCTTGATTCTTCCCTCCCACACCACTGATGTCCAATCAATCACCAGGTTAATTCGACTCTTACCCTGTCTATCACTTAAATTTCCTCCTCTGCTACATGTGTGTACATTTCATCACAATCATTTGCCTTCACGCCACAATATCCACTGGACTGGTTCACCATTTCTATTCTTGCTCCCCACCCTCCAATCCATTCTCCACACCCCATACCTAGCCAGAGTGAACTTTCAGATGTCACATTCTGCTTAAAACCTTTCTAGAACTTTCCACTGTCCTCAGAATAAAGTCCAAACTTTTTTACATGGTTTATGGGGTTTTCTGTGACCTGGTACCTGCTTATTGCTCTCCAGTGTCATGTCTTACCATACTCCCTGCCTGCCACCCCTACCCCTATCCATCAAACTCTAACTAACTTTATTTAGTTCCCTGTACCTACTATGCTCTCATCAAACCGTTGTTAGGCCTTACTTGTCTATCAGCTCAACCTGACTGACTATAAACTCTGTGAATTCAGGGACTACTTCAGTCTTCACTACATTAGTTCCATTTAGTAGACTCTTAACTAATGTTTATGAATAAATATTTGTTAATGCTAAGACATGCATCTTCCCCCATGTTAACATCTCTGAACTTAACACAGACCTTATCATCAATGGCATGTTAATGTTAAGTCTACAGTACTTTCCTAGAGGTATATAAATTTTGTCTTATAACTGGTGGCTTCTTGGATTCAGTGAAGTACGGTACTCACCATTAAGATCAGTTACCTTCCTTTGCTGTAATTCCCTGTCCCTGACAATTTTCTGATTACAAGTTAGCTTCTAATACAGATTTTTCTTTAGGCAGAGAATATGCCAACCAAAGAAACGAGTACTGAACCACTTGCCATTCAGCCTTTTCAGTGTGAGTTAATAAATTAGCCATTTTATTTACATATCATTAAGGCTATTTAACATATATCACTCCCTCTGACCCCGATCTGCTTGAGCACATCAACAAATCCTGGAAGCTGAGAACCAGACTCTGGGACGGCGCCTTTTTGCCTCATGATGTCCTGCGTATCCCTCTGTTTTATTATTTGCCACACTGAATTTATATCAGAATCACTAAATGTGTGGTTCTTAAATCAGATTGTCTTGGACAAGTTATTTAATCTCTGAGCCTCAGTTTCCTCATCTGAAAAAATGGAAGATAATAATAATAGGTTATTGTGATAAGTTGAAAATACAAGGAAAGTGCTTAGAGCAGTATCTGACACATAGTGGATATTCAATGCATTTTAGTGTTGCCCTCATTTTTACTATTACTACCATCACTATGATTAGACCATAAGCTCCTTGAGGGCAAAAAGCAGGTCTTAATTCATCTTTGTGTCCCTACGGACTTATTAGCACTTTGCCTGGTAGAGGATTATTCTGTGTTGAACTCACCCCATAACCACACCATCCTAGGAAACCCTGCCTGAAGGCTTGTTAGCTTCCCTAGAAAAAATGTGCCTCACTTCTCTTTAACTGCAAAGAAACAGCCCAATCAATGTCAGTTCTTGCAGTTGCCTCAGTCCCCATCAAAACATACACCAACTGTGGCTGCATCCACTTTTGAAGAGCCATCCCTTTGCTTCTTTAAAGCTAACCCTTCTCTTCAATCTTCTCAGATGCTACTGTCACCCTTATTTAATACCAAGGAACCGGAGTATTGTCTATAGAGTATCAAGTTATGAAAATGTACTCATGGTATTATCCACTTT